CCAGAACACTGCCCTTGTCACAGAGGAGCATCTTGAGACAGCATCAAGGGTGCAGTGATATAAAGGTTAGAGACATACAAGATGACACCAGAGCTGAGGGATAAGGAGAGAAAATTACACGCGGTCGTTGGTATCTTGGTACTACGGGCTATCTGTAGGCAAACGGTGTCTCTGAGGTATGCAGGCAAACCAGCTAATTTGATGTACGCTGCATACAATGGACAAGACACTCTTCAGAATATAGTAGACTCCCAGAGCTCAAGTCAAGACACTACGCCATTTCTAATCCGGAAGAATCGCATATAATTGCATATATCACCATGAGGAAATTGTAACCTCTATAAGTAAGACGGAGGCAGTGATAAATACGCAGATAAATGCACGAGAACATCCAGCCCTTTGAGACAAAACTACATCTGCGTTACCAAGTGAGGCCTACGTATTAAAGGGCAGCACTGTTCCTTGAGATTCACCAGTCTTTCCAGACCACAAACTGGGATACTATTAGTGCTTTTCAATACGATGATGGGGTAGCAAAGAGGTAACCGGGATGATGACTGAAGTAGTGAAGACGTAGAGCAAGGATAAATTCGTGTTCTTTATTGCTTCAAAGGTTCAGACAAGGGCACTTTCGGACGGGGTTGGTCTCTGGGACCGGCGGTGATGGACGCTTTCCGGCAGAATGCGCTTCATAACGCTCCCGCTAAAACGAGCAATTACTCTCTGAAGGAGCTTGACCTCAAGGGTCCGCGGTTGACTCGCCTCCCGAATTCGCAACCGGGCCTGCTGGCCGGTACATTATGTTCCTCCAGCGGCCTACCTAAACAAGTCGCGGGCAATTTTTCCGACCCGGTCGCATTAATCGCTTTCTACAGAATTTAGCACACCTCAACATCAAGAATGCCCTGGGTCATCAACTAGGAAAAGCGCGGCTGTGCTGTCTTGAAGTCTACTCCAGCTACCCCTGCAATCTTGATAAGCTCCTACCTTTGTAAAATCTCAAGCTCAAAGGTCACGAGGTGCTAGCATTTCTACCCGCTTCCATAGCGTCTGCCTGAGAGAGTGTACCGCTACCTCACGTCGGGTTCTTGCTTGGGGATATCAGACGAGGGAATATCAGAAGACCTTCGAATAGACGCAGATGGAGTACTCTTTCTGCGAGACTAGCTGTTTTGTATGTCCTGCGTTTGAGTTCATGTCCAGACATCGACTTAGAAACTTCATCTGAACTTTCCAAAGTCAGACGACTCAATAGCATCCAATCATTTGAACAGGGTGCGCTGAAAAAAGAAACCTATTGTGAGCGATGTTGAGAAAGGTGCAAACCCCAGCTGGCAGGGCAACGAAACTCGCACACATGTGCGCTGCCTAACTCAAATAGCAAACAAGGATTGACGCGTAGCTCACTATTCACTCAAAGCACAATTACCAGTAGCTCCATTGTTGTGGGTTGCCTTCGTTTCAAGCTCTGCCCGTATTTTAAGTCCTTCTCACAACTTCCCGCTCTTTGTTCTCTCAGTACCCCTCCCTCCCGGAAATATCACCACCAGCTCTTTGACCAACACCACACGTCCACACCAAAGTGTAAGTTTTCTTTGTCTCCAAGACAACAGTCCATTGTTCTCAACGACAAAAACCAGCTAATCAGCTTCTTTAGTCAAGATGAGCCAGAACCGGGAGCAGCAGAACCCCACTGCCGAGGCGCAGAGCCTGGCTACGGA